ATGCTACAAAATATGTGAACCTTGAAGACATGCCAAGTGAAACAAGCCAGGCACAAATGAACAAATATGGTATGATTCTACTGAAATGAAATAACCTGGAATAGGCAAATTCATAGAGAAAGTAGAATAGAGATTGCTGGGGGTGGTGGGGAGGAGGGAATGGGGACTTACTGCTTGATGAGGTGATGAACATTTTTGGAAACAGTGGTGACAATTTCACAACATTGTGAATATAATTAATGCCATTGAGTCGTGCATTCAAAAGTGGTTAAAATCAGCTGAGCAAGGTGGCTCACACATGTAATCCCAGCACTTTGGGAGGCCCAGGTGGTTGGATCATCTGAGGTCAGGAGTTCGAGACCAGCCTGGCCATCATGGTGAAACACTGTCTCCACTAAAAACACAAAAAATTAGCCAGGTGTGGTGGCAGGCCCCTGGAGTCACAGCTACTCAGGATGCTGAGGCAGGAGAATTGCTTGAACCTGCGAGGCAGAAGTTGCAGTGAGCCAAGATCGTGCCATTGCACTCCAGCCTTGGTGACAAGAGCAAAACTGTGTCTCAAAAAAAATTTTTTTTTAATGGTTAAAATGGCAAATTTTATACTATCTTTATTTTACCACAACTGAAAAAAGTAAACAGGCTGGGTGCAGTGGCACACACCTGTAATCCTAGCACTTTGGGAGGCCGATGTGGGTGGATTACGAGGTTAGGAGATCACAACCATCCTGGCTAACAAGGTGAAACCCTGTCTCTACTAAAAATACGAAAATTTAGTGGGCACCTATAGTCCCAGCTACTCGGGAGTCTGAGGCAGGAGAATCACTTGAACCCAGGAGGCAGAGGTTGCAGTGAGCTGAGATCATGTCATTGCACTCCAGCCTGGGAGACAGAGCGAGACTGTCTCAGAAAAAAATAAAAAAGTAAATAAACAAACAAAAAAAAAGAAATTGAGCCAGTTCCAGCCTAGCTTAAGGACTAGAGAAGCCAGATGTTGGGGTCTTAGAAGAGGGGAATCAGACGGAATCAGAAAAGCCATAGTAGGGTCCAGTACAACCCTTACCGGGCACACAATCCTCCCCTGATGTGAGTGTCCAGCCTCTGCATAGGCATCTGCTCTCTCACAAGAAGATTACTTTTAAGGCAGCAGAGTCTAACCTCAGAGTTGGGGTGTCTCTGCAATTCCCAATCCCTGGATTTCTGGGTGGTCACAGTGGCACTCAAGAGAACACTAGAATGGTGCAAAGGCAGAGGGGGTGAGAGAGCTTCAAAGCAGGGCACACGACCCACCTAGCAGCTGGGATCTGGAGTGGGGTGCAAATGTTTTCTAAAGACTCAGATCAAATGTAATTGAACACCAGGAGCCATAATTGCCTACTTGGAGAAATGTGTGATTATCTAGAAACGAAGCAATAGCTTTGGCAGAATCTAACATTGTATTGAAATTGGTTGCTTTGTTCATCTGCTCTATATAGGCTACATCGCTATACGTGTGCTGTTGACAAAAACCAGATGACGCATTTTCTCCCAGGAAGGAGTCCGCTGGGCTCTTGGCAACGCCTCTCGACGGACAGTTTTGGTGGGAAGTGGAGACCAGGAGCTAACGACTATTGACTGATAACTGATGTTCTGAGGGTCTTGGCAGGCAGGAGGAGGCAAGGCCTCAGGTACAAGAGGACTACAGAAAGAGCGCGTGCCCGCCAAAAAGCCAGTTCTTCCCTCTTGGGGCAGGATAAAGTCAAACACAATAGGAGTTCCCTGGCTGTCATCTTATTCATCTTAGGAATTCATCAGAAAAAGCATCCAGAATGCAACAACCCAAAGGAGGCTTAATTTTTGTACTTAGTACAAAGCTAAAAAAATTAAAGCGAATAATGACACCTTTGTTTTTGTTTTACGGTATCATATGCAACTCAAGAATAATGACTTTTTTTTTTTTTTGAGATGGAGTCTTGCTCTGTTGACCGGGCTGGAGTGCAGTGGCTCAATCTCAGCTCACTGCAACCTCTGCCTTCTGGGTTCAAGTGGTTCTTGTGCCTCAGCCTCTCAAGTAGCTGAGATTATAGGTGCGCACCACCACACCTGGCTAATTTTTGTATTTTTAGTAGACACGAGGTTTCACACTGTTGGCCAGGCTGGTCTCGAACTCCTGACCTCAAATAATCCACCCACCTCAGCCTCGCAAAGTGCTGGGATTACAGATACAGGCACGAGCCACCGTGTCCAGTCAAGAATAATGACATCTTATAATCAAAGTGTTCTTGATGGTCTACAATGTACCTGCAGTTTTATCTTGTCATTTACTCCTCACAGAAACTCCCTAAGGAAGGGAAGATATGATTATCTTCATTGTTTTGACGAGTAAGCTGAGGTTTAGAGTAATTGAGTGACTTTGCCAAGATCACAGAGTATGAAGTGCCCCATACCTACATGTAGTTGAACAAATGGTGCCCCATACCTACAAGTAGTTGAACAAATGGGTGACAGTTCTAAGGGAATTGATCTGAATGTATATCAGAGAATGTAGGAAGTGTCATGAAGTCAACTTCCTACCTCGTCTTATTTCCTCCGAAAGCAAACACTTTACTTACATAGTCATTTCTTAGAAACAGTAAAAAACAATAGGGGCAAGCCTATTTCAAGACACAGTTGTGGGGAGAGCTATGTTTATGGATCACAGAGAGTGTGTTAGAACTTTCGGTAAAAGGATGGGGGTCTCTGATTTATCATTTCTTAGAAACTACAATCAAAACAAAAAACAAAAACTTGTGCCTTTACTAAGATATCCCTCAATATCTGTCTGATAGGCAGAGGGTCTCTCTGTGTATCAGACATCAGAGAAATACTCCAAACCTCTGATGGGGGCAGGTAGCAAAGCATATTTAAGGACTTGTTCAGCTCCCAGCGATGACGCTCCTCCCAAAGGCCATTACTGCTTTCCTCAGATACTTTCCTGATGGGCAAACTCATCGCCCTTCAGGGATGGGGGGCTATGAGAAGTAGGCTGAAATGCCAATTGCTAATAAAATGTCTTTTTTGAGAACGAATCTTTGAAATAACACTGGAAGTCAGCGAGGAGATGCGATTCATTTCACAAAAATTCATTTCTGAAGCACAATAAGTGAGATAAAGCTATATGAGAAATGAGAAATTAGGTGATAATTTCATTATGTTCTATAAGCCCACAGCTATAATTCAGGATCATCACATTTATTTCAAAAGTTGTATTTCCATCCCTTTTGATACTGCCTGGGTCTGGAAGGGATAAGAGCCTTATAAAAAATTCATCTCTTACCACCCCCTACCCACATACATAGTGGTTAGATGACCTATCCTTATGACATTTGCAGTCTTTTAATTTAATTACCACCAATTCTTCCCCTCCCCAGATCTGTGCCCTTACAATGTGCTGCAGCAGATTCTCTTGTCAAGAGGTGAAGCCTATTTCTCAATCCTGAGAATCTGGGTTGGCCTGTGACTTGCTTGGCCAATGGAACATTAGCAGAAATAATGCAGACACAGGCTTGGAAATCACTTGTGCACTGGGGCTTGCTCTCTCGCTACATTTGTTACCCTGAGGACACCATATGAACAAACCCAAGGTGGCCTGCTGGAGGAATGGAGGCCATGTGGAGGAGAAGCAAGCTGCTCTAGCTAATAGCCAGCCAGTTGTCAGACATGTGAAGGAGATTGTCTGGGACCAGCCAGCCTCCCAGCTGACCTGGCAACTCACCGCAGACACATGAGTAAGCCCAGTCAAAGCCAGTAGAACTGCCTAGCCCAAATTGCCAACCCATAGAATCGTGAGCTACATATACATAAATGCTTACTGTTGTAAGCCCTAAGTTTTGGGGTGGGGCCAAGCAATGGCTCATGCTTGTAATCCCAGCACTTTGGGAGGCCAAGGCAGGCAGATCACTTGAGCCCAGGAATTCAAGGCCAGCCTGGGCAACATGGTGAAACCTCATCTCTACCAAAAAAACAAAAACAAGAAACAAAAATTATCCAGTAGTGGTGGTGCATGCTTGTAGTCCTAGGGACTTGAGGGGCTGAGGTGGGAGGATTGCTTGAGCCCGGAAGGTGGAGGCTGCAGTGAGTCAAGATCAGACCACTGTACTCCTGCCTGAATGACGGAGTGAGACATTATCTTAAAAAATAAAAAATAAAAGTTTTGAGACGGTTTGTAGCACCGTAGAGGCTAACAGATACATTAAATTATAGTTATTTGGAAGCTACTAGGTGACATACTTAGAGCAAAGGCTCTCTCTGGACCCAGTTCTATCATGGGCTCATTATGGTACTTAACCTTCCACCTGTGCTTCAGCTTTTGTGCTTCAAAGAAGGCAGTACTTCCTAGAAGGCCGGCAGTAATTCGAATTCAGATGTATGTATATTACAGCCTTCGTATCTTCTTTTTTTCTTTTCTCTTCAGCAGTTTTACCAGAAGCCACTATAAAGATGATATTCTGACACGTTTTTCTTTCTTTCTTTCTTTTCTTTTTTTTTTTTGAGACAGAGTTTTGCTCTTGTTGCCCAGGCTGAAGTGCAATGACGTGATCTTGGCTCACCATCACCTCTGCCTCCCAGGTTCAAGCGATTCTCCTGCCTCAGCCTCCTAAGTAGCTGGGATTACAGGCATGTACCACCCCGCCCAGCTAATTTTGTATTTTTAGTAGAGATAGGGTTTCTCCATGTTGGTCAGGCTGGTCTTGAACTCCTGGCCTCAGGTGGTTCACTTGCCTCAGCCTCCCAGTGTGCTGGGATTATAGGCATAAGCCACTGCACCTGGCTGACATGTTTTTTCAAATGAGTTAATCATATATGTTAAGTGCTTTAAAAACTCTAAGATGTGATATGTGTGAAGTATCATATTTATTGTTTCACAATGAATAGAATTATATAACTGTTATAACAATCAGAATGGGCCCTTCTGAGAGCTACTCTTCTTCATTGAGAGTCCTCTGTCTGTTTAGCAGCACCTGGTAGAAAGTTTCCCAACTTACCTGAGACTTGAAGTAAGTTTCCTGCGGGGTGGCAAGTACGTCTGCAGAGGCAATGTCTAAATGCATGAGCGTCTGCCGAAAAGAAGGTCGGTTTCGAGGTTTACTCTGCCTAAGAGTGAAAAGACAGTTTGTGCATTTCAGAAGTTGTGTCCAGGAGAAGGAAGATTTTATTTTACTTTATGAAAAAGATTGTTTACTTCAAAATGGCTATATCTGAGTAAAACAAGCTGTACTCTATTATATCAGTATAGTATCACTGAATAGTATCTCGGTACAGTTTTAAAATTTTTTAAAATTTATTTTGGCTGGGTGCAGTGGCTCACACTTGCAATCCTAGCAGTTTGAAAGGCTAAGGCAGGTGGATCATGAGGTCAGGAGTTTGAGACCAGCCTGGTCAAGAGAACAGCCTGGCCAATATGGTGAAACCCCGTCTCTACTAAAAATACAAAAATTAGCCAGGCATGGTGGTGCATGCCTGTAATCCCAACTACTAGGGAGGCTGAGACAAGCGAATTGCTTCAACCAGGAGGCAGAGGTTTCAGTGAGCCAAAGATCATGCCACTGCACTCCAGCCTGGGCGACAGTGAGACTCCTACTCAAAAAAAAAAAAAATTATTAGTATTTTTAGAGATGGGGTTCTCACTATGTTGCCTAGGCTGATCTCAAACTCCTGGGCTCAAGTGATCCTCCTGCCTTGGCCTCCTAAAGTGCTGGGATTATGCGTGTGGGTCACCATGCTTCACCCTGCAGTACAGTTTTAAATTTATATTTTATTTTGTTTTAAAATTAGAGATGCTATGTTGCCAGGCTGCTCTTGAACTCCTGGCCTCAAGCGATCCTCCCATCTCAGCCTCCTAAAGTGTTGGGATTACAGGTGTGAGCCACTGTGCCTGGCTACCCTGCAGTAAAAGTTTGATATACTGAAGAGCAAAAGGAAAATGTAATTATGAGATACTTCTAATGATGAAATGGAAATCTAGGATCAGCGACCTATTTCATAGTAGCCCATTAGGACTAGCAAAGAAATAATAGCTATCACTTACTAAGGCCTACTATTTCTAGATAATCATTCCAAGTTCTTCATTTCTAAATTTTAATTAATTACAACACAGTACCTCTATGAATTGGTGGTGTCTCTATTTTACAAATGAGAAAACAGATACTCAGATAACATGCCCAAAACTGCACAGATAGAAAAGGTCAGAGCTAGTACATGAGCCCAAGATTCTCCCACTCCAAAGCTTCTAGTCTTTCCACCACCAGGAGATTTACTCCAAATACACATTAGAGACCTCCCTACAGCTTTAGAGACAATGTTCTTACCATGTCTGTTTCATAAGGATTTTGAATCCATCAGGGCAAGTGGAAGGAACTGGGAGGTGTAGGCTATTGCTTCCAACGCCCCAGATAATGGCTGAAGAATCTACATCTTTGTAAGGGATCTCTCCTGTCAGCAGCTCCCAAAGCACCACTCCGAAAGACCTAGAGTAGTGCCAGGAACATGTACAGAAGACGTTTCAGAAACACTGATTCTTATTTTAGTTCTTTATTAATTTTAATCAAATTAGTACATATGCCCAGTTTAAAATTCTACTACTGCTACAAGAAAGACAGAAACATCTGGAACAACTCTAAAAAAAGAGAAAAATCTACATGGGGTAATCAACACCACCAGAAATTAAAACCTGAATAATTAACTCTAGTGTGTGAACAGCCAGCCAGAATAATGGACTGAACAAGAAATCCAGGAATAAACCAAATACATTTAGGAATTGAGTGTATGATAGAAGTGACATCACAAGCCAGCAGGGAAAAATTGATTAGTCCGTAAATGTTGTTGGAACAGATGGGAAAAAAATTAAATCTATAACTCGCCATAAATTAAGATACATTTCACATGAATCAAATATTTAAATAGAAAAATGAAACCGTAAAAATCTAAAAATAAGGAGTTAAAAAATTACCTTAGCATGTTAAAGACTTTTTAAACCATGAAATATATAAGCCATAAAAGGAGAAATTGAGAAATTAAACTGTATTTTAAAAATCTGACACGGAAAAAAATACCAGAAGCAAGATAACAAAATGTGAACTATCTACAATGTACACAAAATGTAAATCTCCTTAATACATAAAATACTCTGATAAATTATGAGTAAAGATCAGAAAACTGAGCAAAGATTATGAGTCGTTCACAAATAAGAAAACACAATGGCTCTTACACATAGGAACAAATGTACAGCGTTACTTATACTAAGAGGAATGCACCCAAGATACCATTTTTTTACCTATGTGATTGGCAAAAATCCACGAGTTTAGCACATTTTGTTGGTGAGACTGAGAAAACACTCTTACATATTTCTGGTAGAACATTAATTAGTAATTCCTAAGGAGGGTAATTTGGTAATGATTACCTAAATTACAAATGACCCCACATTTCTGCTTTATCCTTATTTACATGCAATTTTGACATGTGCTATTATTTTGGTTTTAAGCCTAAAAGTTACTAGTTGCCAATTTTAGGGGTAGAAGAAAAACAATTACAGGGGAAAATACTGTTAATAGAAAAGACTTATAACCTCAGAGGAAACCTTTTTATTGAACAGCCTCTATAGGTTAAATGAAAGGCCAAAACAGCCTCCTACATCTCAAACATGTCTAGAGAACATAACTGTATCACAGCAAAGTACATTATTGATATGGTGACCTGAGTCATTGAGAATAGATGAGAATTATGTAACACGTTTCAGAAAGACTTCTATACCAAATGATCATTTGAAGTAAACTTTCAGTTTTCTAGAAAGTTCAGCATATTCTCTGAGGTCCTCCAAACTGATGATTTACTGAGTAGGTAAGTCACCCGAATTCCCCCTAATCTTTCTCCCCATACATCACCATTCTGGGTAGTACCTCAGATAATACGAGGCTGAAATCAACCAAAAGCGAGCAATGCTAAAGAATATTCTGGAAAAGTAAGTGCTGAAGGAAGACAGTGCTAATAGGGTAAAAGTGGGAACAGGCTTTTTAGTTGGCACAGATGGCACCACTCACCATATATCCACCTTTTCAGAGACAGGTTCATTTCGTATCACCTCTGGTGCCATCCATGCCACTGTGCCAGCAAATGACATCTTGGTACTTTTATCGCTGAGTTCCTTAGACGTACCAAAATCTGAAATTTTTACTGCGTCTGTGTGGGTCACTAAAACACTTTAACAAGAAATAAAGAAAACATCCAGATCATTAGTGCTAATGAAAACCAAGATTCTGAATGGCTGAAACTGAACACTTTATTTGCTGCTTCCTATCATGCAGCATTCAGCTAGCAGTTTCCAATGTTACTGGGGCACTGGCTATAGACTAGAAATAGCATCATTCATACTGAGGCAGCTTAGCGTGATGGGTTTTTAACACCTTGTCTTACTCTGCCTCTTCCACATGCTATGTGATCTTTGCCAAGTTACTTAACTCTTCCTTTATATTTTTCTGAGACAGACGTTTGCTCTTGTCACCCAGGCTGGCGTGCAATGGCTCGATCTCAGCTCACTGCAACCTCTGCCTCCTGGGTTCAAGTGATACTCCTGCCTCAGCCTCCCATGTAGCTGGGATTACAGGCACCCACCACCATGCCCAGCTAATTTTTGTATTTTTAATAGAGATGGAGTCTCACCACGTTGGCCAGGCTGGTCTCGAACTCCTGACCTCAGGCAATCCACCCACCTCCAACTCGCAAAGTGCTGGGATTATAGGTGTGAGCCACCACGCCCAGTCTTACTTAACTCTTCTAAGACAGTTTTCTTATGTGTAAGATGGAGACTCTTCAGGTCTTACCCACAATTCAAAAATGCAAAAAATTCTCAACCAGTTTATATTTTTTTCACATATGTAAGGCAAACTCACTTTCTTAATCTCATTTTGTATGAATACAGTAGGTTTTGCTGCAGATTTGTTAATGTGGTTGATTTTAGGATGTCGCTCCAGACCTCACTGGATGTCTAAGGGAGTACACTACCTTTCTGAAAATATCTTGCTTCAAGAGTTTTGGTTAAGGGATTATAGACTTGAAACAACAATCTCATTGAATTTTCAATTGAATTAAATGAGGTAAGATATTTAAGGCACCATTATCAATAAATATTGGGTTCCATCCTTGCTGGATTTGGCCAGCCCACGAAAAAGAACACTTCTTTTTAAAACACTTGTTTAAATGACAGCCAACTACTACCATGAATGAGACCATGACATTTGGGATTCATTCCATTAAAAGGCTAATATATATGCTGGGATTTCACTAGTGCTGATAAGGAAAAGCAGAAATAAATCTAAGCTTAAGTAAGTTCCACACCAGTTGTGTTACTTGTCATAGTAGTTATCTGAAATGTGACCTGAGGCAAAGTGCTTGTGCTGGCCTTAAAGATGAACACAAGCTGGCAGCAAATTGACAGCTTCACGCATTACATTGAATTCACTTGAAATAACCTGTTCAGAACTTCAGAAAGTTAATGAGTTAGGGTTTCAGAGCCTGTGATGACATAAGGACCTGTTTAATGATAAGAGGTGTAATCCTTAAATTGTATCAGAATTGAGGAGGCTGTAAAACAGCATCTGATTCTATCTCCTTGCTTCTCCATTTGAACCAGGGATTCCTTCATATTTACCATGTAACACCAATGGCTATTTACCAAACAGCTCAGAGCTTACAATTGCTTTTGAATACCATCCTCCAAGCCCTGATTTAGCACCTAATATGTAAAATTTATATAACTTAGGAGTTTTGATTTAACAGTGTTAGTGAAAATGTATAAGGAGGCCAGGCGCGGTGGCTCACGCCTGTAATCCCAGCACTTTGGGATGGCAAGGTGGGCGGATCACCTGAGATCAAGAGTTCAAGACCAGCCTGGCCAACATGGTGAAACCCCCGTCTCTACTAAAAATACAAAAATTAGCTGGGTGTGGTGGCGGGCACCTGTAATCCCAGCTACTGGGAGGCCAACACAGGAGAATCACTTGAACCTGAGAGGCGGAGTTTGCAGTGAGTTGAGAGCGGGCCACTGCACTCCAGTCTTATTATGAAATATATGAGACAACTGGAGAATTGATATCATACACCATGAAAGTGGGAGTAGGCAACAAGCCTCTAAAAGAGAGAACTTTTTCTACGAACTTCTCTGCCTCAGTTGGTGTGACAAGAGAGAATGGACTTGGGAGGACACTAGAGAAATATAATAAGTTTTCTGAAATCTTCTCTGAGACAAAGTTGGGGTCTCAGTACCTGCAGACTTAATGCAGGTAATGAGATCTCCCGTTACAGCACGTCAGGTTGTCCTCTGTCTTCCCAAAGTCAGCTTGAAACCCAAAGAAGTCAAAGCTGCTGGAGTTGGGAGTGTTATTGATGACAGACGGAAACGCGTACTGGGTAACCCATCTACTACTCGTTCTAGGGCTTCCCGAGTCTTTCCCTCTAAGATTAATTCACAAGGAGAACGAGCTGGTTAAAAAGGAGACCACTCAAAGGGGCCTTCGAGTAGTTCATGTACTTTGCATGCATGCACCGGATAGCAAAAGCAACAGGGTGGGAGTGCAGTCAGAAGAAATGGACATGACATAATCATGGTTATTTGCAAGTAAAGCAAGGAGGAGGTTGTTCAGTCAACTGAGCACTATAATAAATATGCTGAGAATCATGATATAAATAAGGGCTGTTTGAAGTTATAATGAAGGATTGATGTATACCGTCCATAGAGGAAAGGCAGGATCCATTGTGGATCCCCTACCTTCACATAATGAGGCAGAATCAGTAGCCTTTGGCTCAGAAATTCTAGGTTCAAGTCTAGCCCCATGACTTTGGGCTAAGCTCTAGTTTCCCTTATATAAAATAGGAATAATAATACTTGTTATACACCCCACACAGTTTTTGCCAGGAACAAAGATGTGATAATGAATCCCCCCAAAATATCATAAACCACGAAAGCACTATATATATATATACACACACACACACACACATACATATATATACGTATATATACACATATACATACATATATACACATATATGTGTATATATACATATAAAAATAATGAAAATAAATATATAAATATATACATGTATATATTTATTTCCACTATATTTTTGAGATGGGGTTGTGCTGTGCTGTCCAGGCTGGAATGTAGTGGTATGATCATGGCTTACTGTAGCCTTGACCTTCCAGGCTCAAGTGATCCTCCCACCTCAGCCTCCTGAAGGCTCATACCACCATGCCTGACTAAATTTTTTATTTTTTGTAGAGATGGGGTTTCACTATATTGCCCAGGCTGCAAATATATTTTGAAAAGAGATTAATCCTCTGCTCATTGAACCCAAAATGTGATGATAAATAGTAAAAATAATGTTTAAAAATAGGAGTTATACTGAAATAAATCATTTTATCAATCTCTTTCTTCATGCAATTTGGGGAACTAACTAAACGCTCCTATTAAAGTGATCAGTAGCCAAGGAATCATTTTGAAAACAGAGATTACTAGAAACAGCTCTGCTTCTCTTACAAAGCCAGGGTTTACTTTTCCTATGGCCATTGTGAACCTTATAACTATTTATTTCCTCCTTTGCTTAGACACTAGAAGCTCAAAGCCAAATCTGTAGTCCGCGTCTGCAGAATCTTATTCCATATAATTTGTGAACAATTTTTAGTTCTAGCATTTTTACTTTCCTTTCCCTCTGTTTCTTTCTTTCTTTTCTTTTCTTTTTTTTTTTTTAAAACAGTATTGCTCTGTCACCCAGGCTGGAGTGCAGTGGTGCAATCTCAGCTCACTGCAACCTCCACCTCCCAGGTTCAAGGAATTCTCCTGCCTCAGCCTCCCCAGTAGCTGGGATTACGGGTACCTGCCACCACATCCAGTTACTTTATTGTATTTTTAGGAGAGACGGGGTTTCACTGTGTTGGTCAGGCTGGTCTCGAACTCCTGACTTCAAGTGATCCACCCACCTTGGCCTCCCAAAGTGCTGGGATTACAGGTGTGAGCCACTGCACCCAGCCGGCTTGTTTCTTATTCATCCATTTTATCCTGTTGTATACATTTCTGAAACTCAGTTTTTTTGTTTTGTTTTGTTTTGAGACGGAGTTTTGCTCTTGTTACCCAGGCTGGAGTGCAATGGCGCGATCTTGGCTCACCGCAACCTCCGCCTCCTGGGTTCAGGCAATTCTCCTGCCTCAGCCTCCTGAGTAGCTGGGATTACAGGCACGCGCCACCATGCCCAGCTAATTTTTGTATTTTTAGTAGAGACGGGGTTTCACCATGTTGACCAGGATGGTCTTGATCTCTTGACCTCGTGATCCACCCGCCTCGGCCTCCCAAAGTGCTGGGATTACAGGCGTGAGCCACCGTGCCCGGCCCGAAACTCAGTTTTAAAAGGTTTTTGAACACATGGAAAACAACAAATTAAGCCTTCCAGTGGGAAGGTCTGGCATTAATTATCTGAAATGATAGAAGGTGAATGCTTCAGATAATAATAATTTTTTTTTTGACAGTTGTAATGGTTTAAAAGCAACAAAAAGGGAAAAGTGGTTTCAGGTACCTGGACATATCTGCCATACAGGTAAGCAGGTAGGTCAACAGTAATCTAAGAGACGCACAAACAGAATGACCCACTGTGCTGATTTAAACTGAACTAAAGGTATGATGTCAGAAAACTTCAACTGTGGTTGATAAAAATGCTTTATTTCAAAATAACAAAACAAAATAGCTGAAACATTAGCTCCAGAACTCACTTAGGTGATTTGAGATCACGATGAATAATTTTATGGAGGTGCAAATAATTCATTCCACTTGCAATTCCTGTGGACCAGTCTACCAGCAATCGAGGTGTGATCTTCCGGCCAGCTCGCAAGACCTCATACAGTTGTCCATGAGCACAGTACTCCATGATGATACAGTAACACGGGGCCTGAGTACACACACCCCTTCCAAGAAAACACAAACATGGGCATAAATACACACATACATGTATACATATTTATGTTTTAAAGATATTTAATAAAAATCAATTCTATACCCAAAGTATTTTAAAAATGTGTATGGATAATAGTTCCTGATTCTTAAATTAGCACGAAAACTTCTCTAGTCTCCAGGTTTCTCTATGATGCACATAGACAATTTTTGTTTGCTTCGTTCACTCTATATGCTGTGCTGTCTGTGTCTGGTGCCTTTTCTGTGGGATCCTTCCATTCTGGGACAAATTACACACTTTTCTGAGGTTTGTGTAGGCTGGATACTGTGTTGTTTTAGATCATTAAGAATAATTTGGCTGGGTGCGGTGGCTCATGCCTGTAATCCCAGCACTTTGGGAGGCCAAGGCGGGTGGATCACTAAGGTCGGGAGTTTGAGACCAGCCTGGCCAACATGGTGAAATCGCGTCTCTACTAAAAATACAAAAATTAGCCGGGTGTGGTGGCGCGCACCTAGTGCTCCAGCTACTTGGGAGGCTGAGGCAGGAGAATCGCTTGAGCCTGGGAGGAGGAGGTTGCAGTGAGCCAAGATTGTGCCACTACATGCCAGTCTGGGCAACAGAGTGAGACTCTATCCCAGAAAAAAAGAAAAAAGAAAAAAAAGAATAATTTAAAATTTCTTTCTTTTAAATTAGAGGGTTTTTATATGTAGTGTACAGAAAGATAATTCAGACAAAAAACTTCTATTTTTAATATTATTTGCTGACTTTTTAATTACTCAAATTAAAAATAACTAACTAGACTGAGGACCCAAAGACGAGTCATTTTTCTGTCTTACATAATCTTTGAAAAACATTTCTTTTTTTAAATGTCAGACAGGTAATGTGCTGATGTCATAACAAGGTTGGAGGGGGCACTTCTCACCTGTGAGTGTGAACACCCGGTCATGCTTATGAATCACAAAAGAATCCGAAAAACATTATACAACTTTTTTTTTTTAAAGACAGAGTCTCACTCTGTTGTCCAGGGTGGGGTGTGCAATGGTGCAACCTCCGCCTTCCAGGCTCAAGCGATTCTCCTGCCTCAGCCTCCCAAGTAGCTGGGATAACAAGTGAGCACCACCATGCTCGGCTAATCTTTGTATTTTTAGTCGAGATGGGTTTTTACCATGTTAGCCAGGCTGGTCTCAAACTCCTATACTCAAGTGACCCACCCATCTTGGCCTCCCAAAGTGCTGGGATTAGAGGCATGAGCCACCACAGCCAGCTTACACAACATATTATATCTCTATGTAGCCTATATTTGCATCAATTCCTACATCTTCCATGAAACCTTTCCTGCTTATTCCAATCCAAAAAGATCTTTCTCTTCTTTAAATACCTATGATATACAACAGCCACTAGTTCTTTATATGCAATTTTTCTCTCTGCATGTAGATTATAGGCTCCTTGAAGGCAAAGGTCTTCAAGTTCTTGTCTCTCTACCACAAGGCCTAGAGGTTCACAGCAAGTCTTTGACAAGTTTGTTAACTTCACCTCAACCTTCTTAACTAAAAAAGCCTTCAAATCACATGTGCAGAGGCAGGGAGGAGGAGGAAGGATACTAACATGAAAGAACCTCTTCTATTTTTCAGGGACATTTCCATGTTTATTAGTCTTATTTAATCTGCCCCAAACCACTGTAAGATAGGTATTACCTTTTCCATTTTTACAAGTAAGGCTCACAGTGAGCAAGTGACTTGTCCTAATCACAACTAGATCATACAACTAAAAAATGACAGAGCTGGGATTCAAGCTCAGTCTGCCTAATTTGAAAGTCTGTGCCCTCTCTGCTCACTGTACAATACTGCCCCTCTTTTAGCTTTTAAACTTCTGTTTAGACAAGCACATTAGGGATTCCTGTGTTAACACCATTATCTCATAAAAGAGGGAATGATCACAGTTAACTCCACTTCACAGTTTTGTTCTCAGGACGAGAAGAAAAATCACTATATGCAATTCTCTATGTTCTATCACTTATGGGTATACATACCTTCCTGTGAAACTTTCTAGAGAAGTTAACAGAGTATCTATAAGACATCCAGCTAAAGTCTTCAGGCAGCTACCAGCCCATGCCCTATCTCTTCAGCTGCTGTAAGTGATGAAAGAATTTAAAGGTTGCGGCTTAAGGCACCGATCATATGAAGGTGATGATGATCTTCAAACGATAGCAGGTTATGAAGAAGTATAATTAGTCTTCATTTTCCCCTGGCCTGCTGTGCCTGTCAGTGCCACAAAGCTATTACTCTCCTATCATTTTCTAAGCTACAAAGAATTCTTGTCTTGATTTTTAATAATTTTTTTTAAAGTTCTGGTTATATGTTTCCTAGGAAAGCTTGGTGAAGCACAAGTGTCTGGCAGTTACAAATAAATGATTATCATTACAGAGAACTAATAAATATGGCAGGTATAATGTAATATGCCTAAGAATATCAACATAAACTTTTTTAAATTAAAAAAAAAATTTGTATATGATGGAGTCTTGCTCTGTCGCCCAGACTGGAGTGCAGTGGTGCGATCTTGGCTCACTGCAACCTCCACCTCCCAGGTTCAAGTAATTCTTGATGTCTCAGCCTCCTGAGTAGCTGAGATTACAGGCGCACGCTGCCACACCCAGCTAATTTTTTGTCTTTTTAATAGAGACGGCGTTTCACTGTGTTAGCCAGTGAAGACTGACCTTGTGATCCACCTGCCTTGGCCTCCCAAAGTGCTAGGATAACAGCTGGGAACCACCACGCCCGGCCCTAACACAAACATTTTTTGAAGGTACTCAGCCTCCTGTTCAACTAGTTTTAACTTGTTACACATAGAAACGGTCTAACAGTGATATGTTATGCACCTTTCATCTCTCTTGACTGACGAATGAGAAGCAATCATTCCATCAGCTCTGTACTGTGACGAGGTTTCTTAGTAGCTATAAATAGTACCTCTATAATCACTTCTAATTGCTACCTTTTCTTCCACTTGCCACTGAATTCCATTAGAACAGTCAGGCTGAGTTTTCTTAAAAGATTAACAAAAAAATTGGATGTAAAAAGAATATAGTATTCTTATCCTGTACTTCCCCTTTCTTTATGTGGTTTTTATTAACTTCAAAAGAAGCTGTAAGCACAGAAACAAGCATCCAGAGAGATATTCTAAAATCTAATCATGCCCTCATATCTTCCAGACGGTCCTGAATGGGATTCATTGGCCAAGCAACACATGGCACAGATGGCTGCAAACACAACACTGCACAATGGCCAAGAGCATGGTGTAATGGGCCGGGAGCACAGTCTCGCTATTGTTTTCCATGTAGAGGTAAAGACTATTCGAGTATCTTCAGCCTAAAGAGTTGGGCACTAGCAGAGCAATGCCGAAAACTGCATATGCAGGTAGGAGAGTCAGAAGGGTGAGGTGGGAAAAAGACCGGAAGAGAAAGAAGCAAAAGAAAGCTTCTCGTAACACCATCCTATTAGGACACATTTCTACTTTCAGTGACCCAGGGTATCCTGCTGGAAAGCCCTCTTACCTGCCACACACAACCTAAATCACTTCAAGAGGCCAAAAGCCATACTTATCTACAGAATATTCTGTGTCTCAAACCCAGTGTCCTAGTGATCTAAGTTCAAAAGCTTTTGACCCTTCCCTCCATTTAGGGGAATGTGGCCTACTGGAAGTAATGATCATCTCAGTGTGGGGAAATGAAGGAAAGAAAGAAGAGGGCCTCTGTTAAGTCTGTCTGCTTAAAATGATCTCCCTGTTGTCTTTTGAAATGTATCCTCTTTGGAAGGATGATAATTGGTCTCTGCAACATTTCATGTCAGTCACACATCCTCCTGGCCCTATGAGGGTGACCAAAGTTAGAATTACTGCAGCAACCGAAGCCCTCTCTCATGGCCTCTGCATGAATGTCCCCTCCAAAAGGAAATGAATCCCAGAACTTCTTTCGGTCTCTTATGTCCTGGTTGAATGCTTCCCTTTTTTTTTTTTTTTTTTTTAACACGTCTTTCCCTTTCTGTAAGGGGTCTTGTTTGGGAATCAAAACTCAACCTCAGTACTCATTTAAACACGTTCTACAAAACCTGTACCTAAGATTTACCTTCCTTACTTTGTGGATGTGATTCCAGTGAAGACTTATGACATGACATCTTTAGCTTTGTAATCAGAGTTTTATCAATGAAGGATCCCTTTTGAGGCTGGGAGAAGTTCTGCCTAGTTTAGGGGCGGAATTTGTAAATTATTCCACTTTTAGCTGCAGACTCATTGGTCATACTACTTTCCAGGAATGCGAAATGCATATCAAATATACCACAAAGCTCTAGTTTCTAAACTTTCATCCTACCTAAAGATACTTTTCCTGTTCTTCACCTTCTTTCCTCTAAAGCCACTTGCCATTTATTTGTTTAAGCCTAGGGCAACACTCAAAGGCCGGCAAGGGAGAGAACTCAAGGAAAAGGTTCAGGCGGAAGAGATTGTTTCTATTTTAGAGCTCAGCACTTCCACAATTTAAACTCTCCTTCTGTTAGGGATCCCCACCAATATTATGAAAAGAATTGTCTAGACTAGAAAGATATGTTCACAGACTCTTGAAAACAATCACTTTGTGAAATGAATATAACATAAAACTTACTGTCAATAACTCGACAATCATTAGGTTAAGAAAGCTGAATGTTTGATATTATTTGAAAGGAACTCTAGAAACACCAGAGGCTATACTCTAAAGGTACCTGCTATTACAAGTTAATATTCAAGAAGGGATGCTAACAGAATCTGATACAAAATATGTATCTACTACACAAGGATTGATTGCTCTTTGATCACTCCAGATGTTGCTTTTGTTTACTTTCTTTCCTTTTTTTCTTTTTTGAGAGGGTCTCACTCTGTCACCTAGGCTGGAGGGCAGTAGCATGAACATGGCTCAATGTAGCCTCAACCTCCCGGACTCAAGCAGTCCTCCCGGCTCAGCCTCTTAAGCAGCTAGGACTACAGGCCTGTGCTACCACACTCAGCTCATCTTCATTTTTTGTAAAGACAGGGTCCCACTATGCTGTCCAGGCTGGTCTCTAATTCCTGGGCTCAAGTGATCTGCCTGCCTTGGTCTCCCAAAGTGCTGGGATTACAGGCATGAGCCACCATGTTTGGCCAACTTTGTTTTCTTAAGAGAATTTTAGGCTGTTCATGTAATATTGAAGTAATCTCTGTCATCCCATTCATAAATGAGATTGATGCAGCTGATCTGGCTGCTTGGCAGGAACCGACATTTTCCCTTCCTGCCCCATGTGCATGCCCCTTCCAAGCAGCACATATTTAGGCAAAATGAACTGCTGGATTGTAAGATGCCTGAGGATACAACTCCAATTTAATAGTTCCTTGGTATCCTCCCAAAGCATGTAGCATAGTGCTAAGTCTAGAGAATGCTTTTGAAATATCTCTCAAAGCAGAAACGTGTGTGTATATACTGGGGGAAAGAAAATAGCTCTACTTCTTAAAAAAAAAAAAAAAGCCTTGACCTACTTGAATGCGATGATGTTAGGGTGCTTCAACTTCCTCAAATGCTTGATATCCGTCTCATTCTGTTCTCTCACTTTCTTGATGGCCACCTCTTCCGCTCGGAACTTGCCCAAGAAGACAGCTCCTTGGGCTCCACTACCCAGCCACTGTAGCTCTGAGATCTCCTCAAATGGCACTTCCCAAGTATCTAGGCACACAAGCAAGAAATAAGCTTGAAGAGACCTCAGAAGGGACCACCGCTCTACAAGGCCATTCTGAAAGTACCAACTTCATCACCCAGGATGACCCTTACCCTCTGTCTCCCACCAAAAGATAGAACCTTCCTATGTGCCTTGGAACTGGATCAAATATTCATACACATTAGTCTGTATCCATTTTTAGCCACTGAAATAAAGCAGAGCAGAGGTCTGTAATATACCTTCCTCCAAACACATATCCCACCACTCCTGCAGCCCTCCCTCCTCACCTTAAGCTTGCATGTCAGTCAATTTACCCATCCACATCTATGCAACTATCCCTACCCCATCACCCACTATAGGTGTTATTTTATTCCTCTTTGAATTTCTAGTGTAGACGCTCAGTGAATCTTTGCTAATGATTTTTTTTTTTTTTTTTTTTTTTTGGGACAGTCTTGCTCTGTTGCCCAGGCTGGAGTGCAATGGTACAATCTTGGCTGACAGCAATCTCCACCTCCCAGGTTCAAGTGATTCTCCTGCCTCAGCCTCCCAAGTAGCTGGGATTACAGGTGCCTGCCACCATGCCTGGCTTATGTTTTCTTTTTTAGTAGAGACAGGTTTCACCATGTTGGTCAGGCTGGTCTCGAACTTGTGACCTCAGGTGATTCACTCACCTTGGCCTCCCAAAGTGCTGGGATTACAGGTGTGAGCCACTGTGCCCAGCTGCTAATTTTTAATGATGCTCATTAAAACTTCATTATGCATACTACTTACATTAACATTTACCTTTTGCTGAGTACTTACGATATGCCATACACTAGCATAGTTCTTTACATACATCATGTATTCAATCTTTACAATAGCCCTACAAGTAGGGCCTTATTGTAGTTATTTAAAGATGAAAAAAACTAAGGCATAGGGTGGTTAAATCATCCTAAAATCATATAGCTGATAAGTGGTAGAACTGGGCCCAGAACCCCAGAATTGGCCACTTTTAGGAAGAGTGTGTTCTCTCCTATGTGTCATTGCCTCTCATGAAGTAATTCAGAAGGCCATTAGTCATTAGTCATGATATGCTTACTCATATAGCTGCAGTATTTTCAACTTCCTCTTTTCCTTAGAGTTTGAATTTTTTTTGCATCAGAAATTTAAGAAGGGTCATTTCTCAGTGGTGGCATTATTAGTGCTTTGTATTAATTACTTTATGCTTTTCTGTCTTAAAAATGATTTTTACCATAAGCCTATATCACTTTTGTAATGAATAAAATGCTATTTTTAAAAAAAGCACTTCAAAAATTCAATCAATATGTGCTTTAATCTCATGAAACTTTCAGAACGAGAATGTAATCCATTGATCCTTCTCCTTTCTCCCTTCTTACCAAGATATTAGCACAGGTAAGAAATAACTATCAAAGAGCTAGGAGCCCCACGGAGTGAGAAGAATGGTGACAGTGTGAAAGGTCATGAGAGATTCTCCTCAGATCACTGAAAGCCTACTGTTTGCAGAACATGGAACAAAGTAGTGTTGAGTTAGCTTCAAAGATACTCTGGTCTTGAAAGCAAATCAACTCACTGTCCACTACACTGATGAAGTAAGAGCAGAAAGAGTTCGTCTGCCTCTAGAAGCGAGCTACATTCCCCTCCTCTCTAATTTTCGAAAAGAAGTTCTGTAGATTCTTAATAAAATCTTTTCTCATTACAATTGCTAAAGCTTAACCTTCAAAATATAACTATGTAGAGCAAAAAATATATAAAATGAGATGGTTTATGCTGTGGGCTTTCATCCCATTCTCTTGATAGGAGCAGTATTAAAGGTTTCTGTTCCACTGAAATTGAAAAAATGCTAGAAAAAAGTAAATCTCTCTAAAACACAAATAGCTGACAAATTTAAAATCACCCAAGGCAGACAGGATACCAAGTGAGATTTGGGAGGAAACAGCAAGTGATAGCCTTGGCTATTTGAAATATCTTCAGGGTTTCTAGACAAGTATTAATAAATGCCTCACGAAATCTCACTTTCACCTCCCTGGGCTCCCCCAGGCAGCACACATGGTACACAGACATTGATGGCATATTGTAAGAGAATTTTCTTCATTAGGGGTCTAGTGACAAATTAAAAACTGTCATTTTGACCATTCTGGGGGTGCTGAACAAAGTATTATTGCTGGACTCTGGGGCACGAACATAACCGAGAAGTCTGTCTTTGAACAACTTTACACAAGCCCGAATTACCCTAATTTTTTTTTTACCTTTTTTTTACCCTAATTTTTAATAAAATAACTACTAAAATTAGACAAATGTTTGGGTGTCTCTTTTCCCCTATTTATTCAATCTTTAGTTACTGTTAAACATTGGAAACATTAGAAAAAAATCAGAAAAGTCAGAAAAACACTCATTTTGTCTGAAAGCTCATCCCACATCCGCTTGCCATTTTCCCTCTTAGTGTTTGTTCAGTTTACAGCTATGTAAAAATTACAGGCGATGTCTAATTTTTTTCTACCTTTTCACATATGTATCTTTCATGTAGTTACTATTCTTATTCTAAGTTCTAATAGTTGTTCTGTACCTTCTTACCTTTTCTGCGTAAGTATTTCCCCAGATTCGGTCCCTAGGTTAAAGAGGATAGTTTCCCGGCTCTAGAAATACAGACCCAAAAGGATTTTGATGGTTTTTGCTCACAATAGCAAAGTATGAACATGTTGGTGGTAAGCGTCAGCAATGATTTTTTGGTTCTATTTTAATTAGGTATAAAATAGTGTTTTATAACTTTGCACTAGTTTAATTGCCAGTGATGTAGAATATTTTCTCCACATTTGTTTAATACTCACATCTGCTTTGTATGAATTGTCAATACCCCTTTGTTCATTTATCTGTTAGGCTTTCATAGTTCTCATGAACTTGAAGAAGCTCCTTCTATATTTCTTTCATATGAATGGGAATATTTTTATGAGTCTTTTTCCTTTAATTTTATTATTTTTGAACAATGTCTTCTATATTGTTTTCTATTATTTCCTTTGAAATTTCTTCCACTCCCTAGTCTATCTTCTAAAAGTTATCTACAGTTGATTTTTAAGAATTTAATCTTTACATTCATCTGAAGCTTATGTTGATGTATGATATGAGGACAGATATAAATTATTCTTTTTCTGTATTACTATTTAATGATTCCAAAATCATTTGTTTTAAAAAAAATCCTTTTCATATTGCTTTATGATACTGACATTGTAACTCACCATATCATTTTTAGAAATAATGCCTATTAGTATTTTTATAGGGTGATAAACAGATTTATCACTAAAATACAAATACATTTGGCACTCACATACAAAGTATTCCCGGTATTGCAGTAAAAAATAAAATTCTCCTCTGCCAACCTCTACCTCATGCCTGTGCTATTCAACTATGTTCAGCCAAGTCTTGATTATCCATAGAAAAATAAAGTAGGTAGCACTGGTAATAAAAGAACACAGAGTGTAAAATAAGGAAAGTAATGCTTCAACCATGTTTCTATCAATCTTTTTACAGAAACTAATCATCAGAAGTAAAATCAATTGATATGAATGTAGCACTCTTTGCCCAGTCTCAAAGTCTCTGTTAATAACTAGCAGGGAGCTAAGAAGTGGGAAAATGGCAGAAGAAAGGAAATTGGTGTTATGGATGCACAAAATTAGGGGCCTAGATAATTGATGAGTGGGATAATTAACCTCAGAGTAATGAAGAATGATGATACTTTCTCTAGGGTTAGTTCCAAATGTTTTGCTGCTTTTATGTCTGTCCCATTGATACTCTTCCCCAGCATTTCTCTTCTATTTTATTCCCCAGTGACTATATCTGAATTCTAATATCCTCCAGGTTCCTTAGGACTGAGAAAAAGCCACATGTTGACCCCCTTTAAGCCAACAGTCCTCTTTTGTTTATCCAGACATGGCTATGACAGTACTTGCTGACTGGAAACTATCTGGCAATAAAAGATTTAAATTACATGCTACCTTACCTGGGCTCACTATCAACATACTCAAAGGGAGGTGAGGACATCATTAAAAATTCTTAAAAATCCAGTGAAATTTTCTCCTAAGTACCAAACATAGGGACAGGCCTGTGACACATGTTATCCTCTGGTTGACTGCAACACAGGATTAAAGATTAGCTCCCTGATCCCAGACCTGACAAGGAAATTTGCTAGTTTCTAGCTAGCAAAACTCTTTCATGGTGCACAGCAACACCAACCCTCAGTAGGATATCCTGCAATCTACTGAAGGGCTAGGCACCTGCTGTGCCTGTGTCAGAATCTTAAGCTGACCAGGCCGGTTTCTTACTTATTTCTGAAATAAACCTTTTTGAAAGTCACATAATAAGTTGGAACACAAATTAAATATCACTATGCAGAATAATAAAAATTTTTAAAACCTCCTTTTGACAAACATATGGAATGGGTGTATCATCCCTCATTCTGAGTCTCAACTTCCATGATACACTTGGATCCTGAGATCTTCAAGTTATCACCAAAAGTAAGTCTGAGACTGGACAAGTGGAGACCCTAAAAACCAACCGTAGTTGATCACATATGCAGCTATCAGTGGGTTTTGCATCCAAGGAAAGAGCAGAGAACTTTGAAAAAAAAAATAACAAATTAGGGTTGGATGCGGTGGCTCATGCCTCTTATCCCAGGACTTTGGGAGGCTGAGGTGGGTGGATCACCTGAGGTTAGGAGTTTGAGACCAGCCTAGCCAACACGGCGAAACCCCGTCTCTACTAAAAATACAAAAATTAGTCAGGTGTAGTAACGCGTCCCTGTAGTCTCAGCTACCCAGGAGGCTGAGGCAGGAGCATCACTTGAACCCAGGAGGTGGAGGTTGCAGTGAGCTGGGATCGCCATTGCACTCCAGCCTGGGAGACAGAGTAAGACTCCATCTCAAAAAAAAAAAAGAAAAAGTAAGAATGGTTATCTCTGCATTGTAGGACAAGTGATGTTTATTTTCTTCTTTATTTTCCTGCTTATGTTTATTTCCAATTTAAAACATAATAATGCTGGTAGCAAGAAGCAAATAATTTCCTTTAAAACCTTGAAAATAATGGGGGCCAGGAGGTGGCGGGAAAATGAAAGCAGGACATATAGAGTATCAGAGTCTATATGAAAGAGAGAGAGAAAGGTATGAGTTCTCTCATCAAGAAATTCTGGAAAGAAAAAATATGGACCAAAAATGAGATTCTATTTTTTTTAATAACTGAATTTTAGACTCTGGGACCCTCCCCTAAAAGCCTATTCATGTCTTTTAGTCAAGACTGTTGACAGCTTTTCCACAACAGCCAGTAGACTTCAGTTACTGACAAAGAATTTCTGCGTGGGGCAAGAATAGATAATACGGTTGACAAATCCTAAAAACGACCTAGAAGTGAGAGAATGCCAGTAAATCCCAATGTACTTATGGAAAACGGGCACAGCGGGAGGAGCGGGTATTTGGTTTAAGAGAATGTATTGCAGAAACAGGGGAAATAAAATACATGAGAAAAGTAGTTAATGGCAACTGAAATCTACTGGCCATTGTGGAAAAGCTGTCAATAGTCTTGACTAAAAGACATGAACAGACTTTTAGGGGAGGGTCCCAGAGTCTAAAATTCAGTTGTAAAATAAATAGAATCTCATTTTTGGTCCATATTTTTTCTTTCCAGAATTTCTTGATGAGAGAACTCATACAAATTTAGTCATTTACATAAGGCTACCAAGATATGTATAAAAAGTCTTAAACAACACATCTTTTAACTATTTATCTCCTAGGAATTTATCCTAAGAACTAATCAAAGATATAAGCAAAAGTAAAGTACTAGACAAATGTTCATTGCAGTATGGCTTGTAATAACTAAAAATGCAAACAAATTAATGTTGAGCAATAGGGGGTTGCTTAAAAATATTGGCACAATCACAATTTAGTATTACGTAGCCATTAAAGATGATGGTGAAGAATTATACTTAAGACACGGAAAATGTTCACAATGTGAAGTAAAAAAAAACTTTCAAAACAGTAGGTGACATGGTTTGGCTCTGTGTCCCCACCCAAATCTCATCTTGAATTGTAATCTCCACGTGTCAGGGGAGGGGCCTGGTGGGAGGTGACTGGATCATGGGGCGGATTTCCCCTTTGCTGTTCTCGTGATAGTGAGTGAGTTCTCACGAGATCTGATTGTTTGAAAATGTATGGCTCTTACCCCTTCTCCTCCTGCTCTGCCATAGGAAGACCTACTTGTTTCCCCTTCGCCTTCTGCCATGATCCTATGTTTCCTGAAGTCTCCTAGCCAAGCCTCCTGTTAAGCCTGCAGAACTGTGGGTCCATTAAACCTTTTTTCTTCATAAATTACTCAGTCTCAGGTAGTTCTTTATAGCAGTGTGAACACAAATTAATGCAGTCTGACTCCATTTTTAAAAAGTATACACACACATTCACAAACAGACTAACAATATATAATAAAAACATGAATGGATATTCTCAAGAGATGGAGGATCATAGATTATTTTAAAAATTTTTTGGAACTTACCTGTATTTTCCAAATTTCATACATCTATTACTTTTGTTATCAGAAAAAAAATTCTTTCAGAGAATATTAATGAGGTTATACAGATCATGTCCTTGGCAAGAACATGGATGGCGCCAGAGGCCACTGTCCTTAGCAAACTAATGTAGGAACAGAAAACCAAATATCACATGTTCTCACTTATAAGCAGGAGCTAAATAATAAGAGCATATGGACATACAGAGGGAACAACACACACTGGGGCCTACTTGAGGGTGGAGGGTGGGAGGAGAAAGAGGATCAGATAAAATATGGGTACTGTGTGGAAATAATCTGTGCAGTAAATCCCCATGACATAAGTTTACCAATATAACAAATCTGTGCATGTGTCCCTGAACCTAAAATAACAGTTTTAAAAAATGAGGTTATAAAGAACACCAGGGCCTCAGAAGTATAATACTAGTATTTGAATTAGAATATATGAATATATTGTTACATAATGATGGGAGTTAAAAACGTAATTTTTTTTTTTTTTTGAGACACAGTCTTACTCTGCTGCCCAGGCTGGAGTGCAGTGGCACAATCTCGGCTCACTGCAACCTCTGCTGGGCTCAAGCAATTATTGTGCCTCAGCCTCCCAAGTAGCTGGGACTACAGGTATGTGCTACCATGCCTGGCTAACTTTTGTATTTTTAGCAGAGACAGGGTTTCTCCATGTTGGACAGGCTGGTCTCAAACTCCTGACCTCAAGTGATCCACCCGCCTCAGCCTCGCAAAGTGCTGAGAATACAAGTGTGAGCCACAGCACTGGTAAAAATTTTAAAATATGTAGCCACTGCATGATTTCTTTACATGTTATATATCTGCACAACTATATTAAAATATGAAATACATCTGACAATGTATGAAAATAGGAATTTTAAATGATGAGATAAGTTAAACAGGAGCTCTCATGTTTTCTTCTTATAATACCACAGATTGTTTTATATGCACTGTTCTTTAGACACCACTAGAGTGGAGGACCACAAAAAGATGGGCTACCACCAAAAACGACCAGTCAAATGTGAATCTCTTCCCTTCAGCAGGTCTGCTGGAAACTGAAATGGGGTATTCATCTGGCACTGGTTCTTTCATTTGCCCCAAGGTCGCAGGTTACCCAGCTAATGGTGGTGATCGTGCTCCTGATGCAGTGTTTACGCGAGAATTATCTTCGAAGTCCATACTCTAGCTTACCTTGCTGCTGCAATTTGTAGTCAGTGGAATATGCCTTCCCAATGATATTCCATACAGGTCTCAAGCATCCAAAGAGTCCTTCAAGAAACCCACCACTGCCACTGCCTGACCTGCTGAACTGAATCTTGATGTCTTCAGTTCCGCTCGTGCTCTCTCTGTCCACTGTGTTGCTGCTCCCCTGAGACACCACCATCTCTGATTCATCGTGTTCCCTTAGCTGAAGAACGCTGTTCTCAAACTGGTCCCTGGAATCCTCACTTACGCTTGTCAACACTGTCGTGGTGATGGGGCTGTTCACGCTCTCGACTAGCTCTGTTCGTGCCATCCCCTTTTCCTGCTGGTCCTCGAGCTTGGGAGAAGGGTGGTTCCCCATGGCTGTGAGTTCATCTTGTAGTCCATTGAAGGTTTTGCTTTCACTGAAGGGTAAGTGTGGAGAAGAGGAGCAGCTCAGGTGCTCCTGAAAGTTGGCCATTGTGCCATGAGTGTAACTGAGGTCCTGAGATGACACTCAGAAGATTATTAGGGCAGACTTCTGACTTAAGAGAGGGCTCCAAAACCTGAGAAAAACAGGAGGGAGGTATGAGATCATCCTTTCTTTATTATGCACACTACAACACTTCTGTTTGCAGTAAAAAAATTAAAACAATGGGGATTGGTTAGCCTGAGGGTTAGTCTATATGACGGAAATGTGTACAGCAATGAAAAATCATGCTATGGAAGAGTATGAACATGACAAAATATCCATGACATATTAATATAAAAAACAGGTCAGAACAACATACACATTAACTTAAAAATGTACTTAAAGAATAAACCTATAAGAAAAAAGACTTGAAGGAAAATAATCCAAAGAATTAACAATAGTTAATTTTAGGTGGTTAGATTTGGGAGAGGTTTATATTGTTGTGATTTTCACGGTATTTCAAGCATTCTGTATTAATATCTATGATATTTTTAGAAAAATTGTTTCCCTTTCTACAAGGGAAATTTGGTTGTTCTGATATACCAGTTTTATTAGAAACTACATCCTGTGTTATTATAAGTTGCTACTCATCTTTTCTCTTTGCTTTCGTGTCTTATCCAGTGGGGCGCTGCTTTACTTTATAAGGCATTCATTAAGTCATGGAGATAAATGTCATGTGTCTGTGACAAGACAAATTTCTAAGATATAAAATTTGTTTTTATTGTACTGCACCAAATCTGAGCTAATGCGACTAAATCCTAGCTCTTTAAAGTTGTTCTTTGCTTCTGATCTGTCTGTTAGCATCATTTCTTGGGGCCACCTAATCTTTAAAAGTGAAGATGTGTTCTAGATTGGCCAGGTCATGCATAACCAATCTTAAATTTATTCAAACTATGTTCTTTTCTTTTTCTTTTTCATTTCTTTCTTTCTTTCTTTCTTTCTTTCTTTCTTTTTTTTGAGACAGAGTCTTGCTCTGTCACCCAGGCTGGACTGCAGTGGTGTGATGTCGGCTCACTGCAACATCTGCCTCCCAGGTTCAAGCAATTCTCCTGTCTCAGCCTCCTAAGTAGCTGGGATTACAGGCACCCACCACCACGTCCAACTAATTTTTTTTGTATTTTTAGTAGAGACAGGGTTTCACTATGTTGGCCAGGCTGTTCTCGAACTCCTGACCTCAGGGTGATCCACCCATCTCGGCCTCCCAAAGTGCTCGATTACAGGCATAAGCCACCCCGCCTGGGCCAAAGTGTGTTCTTAGCAGAAATTTACTTTCTTTTTAAATCCCTATGTAATAGTCGTTCCTTCCTTCACTCTGTACTAAGCATCTAGAATGTACTAGAGGTCAGGGTATGAAGATGACCTCATTTTCCTGAGGGGATAAAAGAAAGACCAACGAAGATTGACAGAACAGTGCTTATCATGAATCAAGCAAGTGCTCTGAGCACAGAAGAACGAGGAATAGTTCCAGGGAAAGGTGCTCAAAGGTGGTAGGTAACTTTTGATCCATCTGAAGGAAGTATAGGCATTCATTAAGCAAGTCAGAAAGGCGTGAGTGGAAGAGGGAGAAGGATTACAGATGTGGGGGAACCACGAAGGAGGGCACGGAAGCTTGAAAGACTGTGAAACAGAGGAGAAATCCAAAGTGGCTGGAATTTTAAGCAAGGAAGTAATTTGGCCAGATAAATTAAAACCACATCTATAGAGGCAGAGGTTGGATTGAAAGGGAAAGACTGAAGGTCCAGTTAGAAGGTATAGTTCAAAAAGAAATGAGTTGGATCTGAACAAGGCATTAGCAATGGCAGTGAAGAGGACAGGAACGATTTAAGAGGTAGAATTGGGAAGATCTAGTAACTGATTAGACATGGAGGTGGGTAAAGAAAAGGGGGGAGGAAGACTTTTCAAATCGCTTACTTGGAATAGTGAATAGACAGACACGTGTCAATAACTGAGATATGAAATGCCAGAAAGAAAGGTTTGGAAAGAGGATAATTAGCTCAACTTACGGACATACAGAATTCAAGGCCTCCTACGCATCATGCACTGAGCTAGGGAGCTGGGCTTTTATTGATGCTATCTGATTTTTAAAAGATACTTTGTAGAGAGAGATTGGAAGAAAGATAAAGATGGGGCTCATTTATCACAGGGATAGAAGTTTCCAAATCATAAAGCTAAATTTAAAATGCATTTATTGAATATATACTCAGCCTACATAACATGGCAAAACCTCATCTCTACAAAAAATACAAAAATTAGCCAGGCATGGTGGTGTGCACCTGTAGTATCAGCTACTTGGGTAGAAGGCTGAGGCAGGAGAATCACTTGAGCCCAGGCAATCTAAGCTGCAGTGAGCTGTGTTTGTGCCACTGCACTCTACCCTGGGCGACAGAGTGAGACCCTGTCTCAAAAAAGAAAAAAGAATATATACTGAGAGCTGTGGCATGTACTAGGCTAGGTTCTGTGGATACAGAACATTACTGTTGTCATTACTATTTTTAATGATAAATAAGACAAAGTGCTTTACAATTTACAGAAGCCTGTTTACATAATCAGCAATACACTGGTAAATCAGCTCTTTTCAAGACAACAGCAATCTGATTTGTAGTGTTTGCTGATTTCCCTGGTGTAAATATTCCCACCATAGCAGATTTCAAGCTAATAAAACTTTAACAACTTGCTTGCAAAGTTTCTAAATATTTGACCATTGGCTCGTACAAGTTGGTGTATAAGCCAGCTCCAGCACCATATCATTGCAATAGTGTCACTTCTATTTCACAAGAGAAGAAGCTTCTCTAAGGTAATATATTCAATAAGTAACAGAGCAGGAATTAAAATCTAGCTCAAAGTTCAGATTCCTGAAATCCTTTGTCTTTTTTAAAACACGATGGAAAACTTATGATAACTCCTCACTTCCTTAGAGTGCTTTCCAGGTTAAAAAGTGCTGTTATCTGTGATCATTTGATCTAAGTATTTGAACCCTAGGTAAGAAATCCAGAACACAGAATGATTATCCCTGTTTTTCACAGAAGGAGACGAAGGCCTAGAGAGAGGTAGATGCTAACGGTCACAGAGCCAGGATGAAATACCAGGTTATTCTTCCTAATCACAACACTCTCTCCTGTAGCATGCAGTCTCTAAAGACACGGTTCCTACGCTGTTGAAGCTCATGGACTACTTCAGGAGTTAACGATTACACTGAAGGAATTACCTCCCGCCATCATCCCCCATGACGAATGAGCCATATTCCGTTCTACAGAGCCAAGAGAGATGGGAACAATGAAAACAGAGGTAGGATTTGAGATGAACCTTTGCAGGTAAGGTGTGTGACAGGGGGAGGAAGTCAGGGGATAATAAGAGCATGGGCAGAGACAGGGAAGTAGAATGACCAGGGCATGTGTGAGGGGGCTGCTGACCCAGAAACAGCAGTGGCTAACATGGGGGAGCAGTGTGCAGCAGGGGTAACTCCTGCTCCCCATGTGGGCTCTGAAAGCTTATGATACAATGCAGGTGATTCTTCCCTCGTAACAAGCCAGAGAGATCACTTTAACTGGACGGAGTTAGCTTAAGAGGCACTTAAATGATAGGGTATGGAGAAATCTAGGCCTTGGGAAGCTGCCTGGGAATATAAGGTTGGGGCAGGGGGAAGAAAGAAGAAAAACTGGAGCCCTCTGTGACAGCAACAGCTATTTGCTTGAGTTGACCCTATTCCGCCCACTCCAGCCCCCGTCCCCTGTCCTTCCGTGCTCATCTCTGAGCTTTGACGTCACTGATCTCCTCATTACGTTTTCTTGCTGATCACCTGACCCCACCTTGAGCTATCTCCTGCTTTTGGCCTCTCTGACCTTGCCCTGCCTGAGCTCTTTTAAGACTGCTGATTTCATACTATCTGACCTGGCCACTGACTCAGCAGTTACTTCCAGTCTGCCTTGGCCGCTGGGACTCCTGGTTATCCTATACAGCAGCAGCTCCCAATCTTTTTGGCACCAGGGACCAGTTTTGTGGAAGATGCTGTTTCCATGGACCAGGGAAGGGGGATGGTCTCAAGGTGATTCAAGTGCATTACATGTATTGTGCACTTTATTTCTATTATAATTACATCGTAATATATAATGAAATAATTATACAACTCACCATAATGTAGAATCAATAGGAGCTCTGAGCTTGTTTTCCTGCAACTAGACAGTCTCATCTAGGGGTGATGGGAGAAAGTGACAGATCATTAGGCATTAGATTCTCATCAGGGGCACACAACCTAGATCCCTAGATCCCTCGCATGCACAGTTCACAACAGGGTTTGTGCTCCTATGAGAATCTAATGCCCCCACCAATCTGACAGGAGGTGGAGCTCAGCTGATGATACAAGTGACAGGGAGTGGCTATAAATACAAGGGAAGCTCCGTCCCCCCCACCACCCCGGCTCACCTCCCTCAGTTCAGCCCAGTTCCTAACAGGCCACAGACTGGTACCTGCCCATGGTCTGGTGGTTGGGAATCCCTGCTATACAGCACAAGTCCTATATACTATTGGCTCATGTGAATTGCATACCCAAATACATATGTGAATTTCAGCCAAACACTTATTTGTGTGATTTATTTTTTTGAATCAAATTATCAGGCTTTATATTAATTCCTAGTAAATTTCTACTTTGTCAATTTTTTATCCTGAATTTCTACCTAATGACATCATGTTAGGATGAGCTCATACATAACATGTTAGAAGAACATCTGTTTTTCTTGTAATCTTTTCCTATCTCCAGCAGGATAAGAATGAGTGTGAAGTAGACCCGTTCCCATTGGGATGGGAATGAGTTTAATCCCAGTCATCACATGCAGTCTGATATTTAAGAGATCAGGGAAAAACAACACAATCAAGGAATATGTTTCAATCCACTTATGTTACATAGGAGAATCAAATTTCCGAGAGATTGCCAACTTGCTTAATATAACTAACTAGTGGGTGGAGCTTGGATGAGTCCTCCTTCCTCAGCCCAGCTCTTTCCACTAGTATGGTTGTTTGTCTATTCAAAGAGAAACAAATAGCCACGGTATCATGGCCCACTGGTGATGAAAACAATAGTAATTCACAGTGCGATTCTAG